ATTCACCTTTATTTTACAGATGGAGAAACCAAGGCACAGTGAGGTTAAGTAACTTGGAAAAACTGGGGATTCAAACCATGCTTTCTGGCCCTAGAATTTAGATTTTAACCTCTATATTATACTGTTTTTCAAACAAAGGCCCCACCGAATACAGAATTAAGCACCAATCTCTTAGCATATCTTCTGACTATCCATTATATCTGATCATGCTTCTCTTTCTGTTTTATTTTCTGACCCTGGGTCTACTGCAGTTTCTGGTTTACCACAATAGACAGATTATTTATGTAACTTGCTGTTTATTTTTATGCCTGCACCATATTCAGGTTTTTCTATCAGGGATATCCTTAGAAATGCTTCATCTTATTTCTTTTCAGTCATTCATTTCAGGAGAGATTTGAGTCATACTCTGTGCCAGTCGCCAGGCTTGGGTGCTAGGTTATCACAGTAAATAGGCAAATCCCTGTTGCAAGGGTCTTTCCTTTAAAGAGTGGCAGTTACTGTTCAGAGCTAAACCATCACTTCCTCGACAATCCTCTGTTCTCTTTCTGGTTTCAAGCTTCATCTTGAGATGCGGATAGCATTTTCTGAAACTATCACAACATACTTCATGACATGCCTTTTTATCATGGTTAGTTGTGTGTCATCTACTTCTTGTAGGGAATGTGCGGCTTCATCTATGCATTGTATGTCACACTAAAGAAATGGTTACATTTTACTGAATGAAAAAAATGAAGTTAAAAAATAAAGTCTAAATTAGATGGTGAGGTGAGAAGGGGGAGAACATTGTGCTTAAAAAAAAAATACCATGTAGATGTACATATTTGGGATAGTCTAAATGATTAACAACTAAATTAGGAATAGAAAGAGTACTAACCTTATTTATTCTTTCTCTAACAGTAACTTTAGACTCTGAATGGACAAAAAGGATCCCTGCAGTATGCAAAAACACTAATTATAAGGAAACAGCAATTTACATTATTTATAAGGAAGCTATTTACATTACTTAGCCCTGTCAGACACAATAGTTTTGGAGCTCTATTCTTTTACTACAGTGAAAAGAATAAAGCAAAGTGACAAGGAATTAGAAAAGATATTCTAATAGATGCATCTCATTATAAGAACAATAACGCTTCTTAAATGTTAAAAAAAAATCCTTCAAATATAATTTAAACTGAACAAAATGGAAACTTCCATCTTACCATGAAGATGATTCAGAGTATAGTACCCATTTAAATATTCAGACAAGCTCCAAAAAGTACTGAAAATCAAGCATTATTAACTTTATTAGGTGCAAGGAGAAAATGACTAAGATGCAGTGTTTCATAATTCATGTATTTGAAGTTAATTAGTCACATTTTCTTTTACCAGTAACTTTGAAATATAAGTGTCTGCATTATGAATAAGGTTGTTTGTGAAAGCAGCCAAATCAGGGAGAAAAACTCTACTTTATGTATTTTATTTTTATTTTCTTTCCTCCTCTCTGAACACTTTAATTTTATCCGGTAGTTCCACTTTCATTAGTATAACAGATAGTATTCAGTGGCAAATTATACCAGCTTTTGATCTGAAGTGGACAAGTCTGTTATATGAGAATCAGGAGAAGGTGATAAGAGAAAGATTTGCCAAGCTGATTTTTTTAAAAATAGATCTTTTAATACTTTTTGTAAATGTCCAAAGATGAATTTTTCTTAGGCCTACATTCTTTAAAATCTTAATATTTTTTATTGCTCATTTAGAAACAAGATAAAATCTTGATCAAAGGATGATTTCTACATTCTGATTGGAGAATTGAACTCTTACAGTGAGGTGTCAGAGCACCTCACTACTTGCCTGGAAGGTTCTTGGGCCATAATTACCTGCCTTAAAGAGCAAAATCAGCATCATTTTCTTTCAAAGAATACTAAAGTCTGGTACACATGACATACTAGGCCAGCCTCACAAATTAGCACAGCCCCACAGAGCCTGCAAGAAATTAGGTCAGGACTGAAAGAAATCAGGCTGTGGTCCAATAAGGTTTTCAATCTTAAGTGGGAAATTAGATTCACAGGGTGTTAGGGTCACTGTCTTTATGCAACAAAACCAGTAACTTCTCAGTGTTAGAGACCTATTTTTCTAAACCATCAAATATTTCTGGTCCTTCTCTTAGACAATTTTTGGCACTGCATAATATATAAAGAAAGCAGGTTTCCTATTGGTTGGAAACATACTATAAACAAACAAACAAATGAATTTTACTGTTGCTCATAACATGCAAGGAAAAAAGTCCTCTTGCCCCCAATTATTGCCCTTGAGGCCTGCAGATTTCCCATCAAAAGCAACGTCTCCTAAAATCCCTGTTTAAAATGTGGAAATATTTTGAGAGTTAACACTTTAAGCCACTAGTACACATTAATGTCCAATAGTTAAGGCTGAGTAAAATGCTCATTAATTTTAAAATATAGTGATAATTAAGATATATTTGACATACAAATGAATCAATATAATCACAATTATTAGGCAATTCCCACAGAGACCTCAAGGTGCAAACAGAGGGAGGAGAATGGATCAGTGGCATGTACTTAACTTTTAAATTGCTTGTCAAATATTTTTCTAATTTCAATTTGATTTATAAGCGTAGTGTTTTGGGGATGGTCAATACAGCCTATTCATTTTTAGCACAGGCTTTGAAGTCAGAAGGCTGAGGCCTGGTCCCTGACCTTATGGTTTACCTTGGTCAAATGACTAAATCCTTGTAAGCTTTGATTTCTTAAATCAACAGAGATACTAATAATATCCTAAGTTGTGAAGCTGTTACGATGATTAAATGAGATTATGTTTCAAATGCTTAGAACAAATGCCTGGCACATATTAATGATCGTCATCATCATTATTAAGTGGCGGAAGTGAAAAAAGGGTATAATTTGAATTTGACTGGAAGTTCGCCGGCTCTCTATCCAGAACCTTCTCTCTCATTTCGTCTCATACAGTGGTGCCAGTAAGAAGAGGACAAAAAAACCCAAGGAGCATCATCTTTCTGGACTCGGTTCTTTCCCCCTTTGCCCTCCAGGGGCCGCTGTGTTTCCCCGCCAGCGGGTTGGCTGCCTTGTTGCCACGAGACCGTCGCCGGGCAACCGCGTGTATGTACACTCCAGGTCGGCTGAGTCTCGTCGATATGGCGGCGCAAGCTTCTAGCTCGGCCTCTCCGTCCAACATGTCTGTCACATCGGTGTTGTCTCCAGGACTGCCACCGACCCCGCCCCCGACCTTAACCGCAATCTCCAAGTCACCCCTGGAGTCGAAGGCGAGCCTGCCTCGCTCCACGTGCCGCGAGGACTCGTTGCCCCTCGCCGTGTTTTATGGGCCGCTGGACGCAAAAAATCCGCTTCTGGCCTCCTTTGAGAAGGAGATACAGGAGTTGCTAGGCTTTATGAAGAGAAAGAAGGCTTTAGCCACCACAGAGAAACAGAATCATGAATTTCACCGGCGATGGTAAGCGGTGGCAGGGCGCTGGGGCGGGGGCTGGCGGGAGAACTCCAAGCCACTGTCGGGGCCAGAGGAGGAGACGCCCATGAGAATGCGGGCAGGGGTCCCAGAGCGGGTCGGCGTTACCCATGCAGGACCTGGCCCAAGGGCCCTGGGGATGTAAACGAAGTTTCGGAAGTGGACATGTGTCGCTATTACAATCCTTAATTCCTTGTAAATGTTATTGTATCTTGGCTTCCTGCTCTGGTCCAAATAAAAATCAACACAAATGTTTCATAACTCACCCTTCATTCTATTTCTGAGCGTCTCTTAATTGCTACTCCATGCCAAAAACTTTTTAACTCACTCACGGGTTTGCACAGCTTTGTGTGTTGTGGGTACAGTTTTGTGTATGGAGAGAAAGTAATAACTTTGAGGTAGTTTATGTTCTTGAGAAAGTTCTTGAAGCCATGAGTATGTCGCTCTGTGAACATGTGCCTTTAATTCTTTTTTTATGTTTTTCTTGGTTTTGTGACTTTTTCTTGATTTTGTGACTAAGTTTGCACATTTGTTTGCCTTTTGGGGGATTCTATCACCATGTTACTATCTCAAACTGTAAACTACCTGTTTTGAAGTTTTTGTTTGTTTGTTAACCATCTTTATTTCCCTGTTAAAATGCATTGCAAACTGAATAGTTATAAATCTAGATCAGTGGCAGAGAATACCAGAACAGCGAATAGTTTTAACTTATATTTTTTATTTATGCATTTAACATGAAGAAATAATCTTAACATATTTTTTTATTTATTCATGCATTTAACTATGTAAAGAGCACCTACTGTAGGTCAGGTACCATTCTAGGAACTAGGAAAACAAAGTTAAAGAATATACAAATCTGTATACTCATGGAACACATATTTTTGTGACTACGGCTACTTAACAAATATATAAGGAAATTATTTCACAAGGAAATAAGTGTTAGGGAGAAAATTAGAGCAAGTAGTAGGGATGGAGGATACGGGGTGGGTATTGCAATTTAAAATGGGATGACGAGGAGGATGGTCAGGGAAAGTCAGAAAAATGGTTTTAAAAAAGATGAGAAAGAGATATGGTAGTAAGTGATGAGAATATCTGTAAAAAATGTTGGCCATACGGAGTGAAGGTGTCTGGCAAGTGTGGAATTCTGAGTGTGGGAAGAACAGGTTTCTTTCAGGAATGAGGGAGATCATTGCCATGTAATTCAACATTCAGTCAGATCTGTTATGTAGGAAGTTGGACATTTGAATCTGGAAATCAGAGAAAGTATACATTTGAGACTTGTCAGCATATAGATATTTAAATCGTGATACTGGATAGGCTAGTTAAGGGAGTCAGTGTAGATGGAGAAGAGGAGAGTCCAAGGACTGAACCGTGAGACATTCTAACATTGACTAGTGGTGGAGATAAGAAGAAACTGGTGGAGATAAGAAGGAACTGGCAGAGGTAAGAAGGAGGGGCCAAGGAGGTAGGAGAAAACCATAAGTGTGTGGTGTACTAGATGCCAGGTGGAGAAGCTGTTTCAAGGAGGAAAGAATGACTGAACAAGTGGAGCAAATTCTGCCGATGGGCCAAGTAAGGTGAAAACCAGGAATTGACAAAGGAGAGCACATTACATACCTAAGCTATATGTATTTATATTTAAAATGTTGCTGTGTTTGTGTCTTTGATAGCAGTTTATCTGCCTACCTACACTACCAGCATTCTGGTTCAAACCACCACCATCTCATATTTTCCCTGCAGCCACTTGATTTCAAATCTATCCTTCACATAGCAGTTAAGAGTGACCTTTATAAATAAATCACTCACTCCCATATCTGAAGACTCTATTGCTTTCCATTGCTTTTCAGATACAATTAAGACTCCTTCCAGTGTCCTCCAGAGTATGAGAATCTGGCCTCACCTGCTTCTCCCATCTCAGATCATCCCTCACTTCTCTCTCAAGACTTTCCAGGGAAAAAGATCCTACTGTTTCTCATCCCAGGGACTTTATATTTGCTGCCTCCTTTGTCTGAAATACTCTTTCCTCAGCTTTTCAAATATTTGATTCCTTCTCTTCTTGCAGGTCTTAGCTCAGTTGTTAATACCTCTTTGGAGTTGCCTTTCATGTCTAATGCAGGTTCGCCAATCAGTTTATTCTTTTATTTGTTTTCTTGTGTGTTGTCTGTCTCCCCCATTAGAAAAAAAGTCCTTGTGACTTTTAATGATGCGTCTCTGTTTCATTACTCTATCTCTAGAATCTAGCCTGGGGATTGGGACATAGTAAACATTCAGTGAATATTTTATATTGAAAAATTCAAGAGTTATTGAAACAATTCTCAAATGCAAGCATTCTCAATAATTGTTAATGTTATATATGGAGAAATAGATCTGGGTCAGTTGGTGAGTACAGTATTTGTCTCATCTTTAAACAGACTATTAGAGAATCACAAATGATAAGGATTGACATGGACCTTAGCAATCTATTCTCTTATATAGTTTAGGCATATATTTATGCAACAATTTTTATTGAATGCCTACTATGTGCCAGGCACTGCCCTAGTCATGGGTTATATAGTGGTGAACAAAATAGATATGGGAATCTGCTCGTGGAGCTTATAGTCTAGAGAAGGAGATAGACTTTCAACACAGAAACTACAAGTGCTACAAAGGAAGAAGTTACTGAGTATTCACATGTGCCAGGCATGGTACTGGGTGCTGGGGACATAGTAGTGAACCAGACAAAAACCCCTGCTCTCTTGGCGCTTATATTCTTGGGGAGGAAATAGACAAACAAATAAGTACATTTTATGGTGACCTAGACAGTGCTAAATAATAGGGAGAAAAATAAAGAGAGGAAAGGTTATGGAGTGGGAGATAGGAGGTTGCAGTTTTCAGTGAGGTGGTCAGAGTAGATGGCACTTAAGCAGAGGCTTACAGAGAGCACAGCGGCGAGAGCGGCAATGTTCAGCTGAGGTTAGAAGGCTACCTGGCAGTTGACCAGGCAAGGGGAGAGGATAAACAGAGGGAGCAAGCATGTGGGAAGATCTTGGCAGGAAAGATTCAGGGACTTTGGAGGAATGGACAAAAGCCTGTTTAGCATAACTTAGTGTGGATGCAATGGTATGAGTTGAGATTAGAGGAATAGATAGAACTTTGGAAGGTATCAGAGGACATTTATAGAGTTTGTGTTTGTTCCAAATGCAGTGAAAAGCCATTGGGTCGTTTTTGGCAAGGTATTAACCTTATGTGATTTTTGTTTTAAAATATTATTTTGGTGATCTTGTCCAAATGGAGCAAGACTGGCAATGTGGAGACCAGTTAGGAATACTGGAGATAGGATTCACTTTTATCACATATTTGCCAGATGGTTATTTTTTAAAAACAAAATTTGTTTTATAACTATAAGAACTTCCATAAGCACAAAAATTCATTTTATTTTAAATATAGATTTGATTATATCAGCAATGTCATTAAATTTAGAGTGTGATAAATTTTTGAAAGGTATGCTTTTGTTATAAGCACGTACGATTGAGATATTCTGTTTATATAGTTATGATTTTCTATTTTAGAAAATTCTAAATATCCCTCAGTAGCTATACTCAATCAGCAATTTTACTACATTAACTTTCTTTTCTTAAATGATGTACATTGCATCTTATATATTATATTTTCCTTGTTTAATCATTACGTAAGTCATTCCCAATGAGCAGTCTTAACTTGAACTTATGGTTACTTAAAAAAAAAAAAAAATTCTCTTATTATATAACCTTGATTGATTTAACAAAGCTGGTATTTTTCGTTTATGAGTAACAAACCCAGTCATCATTATCTCATACGTAAGGTTTGGAAGAATTAACTCTTTCATTTACATAATTCAAGAATTCTAGCAAGACTTGGTGAATTTTTTGGATTCATTTATCTTTATTTCAATACTGTGGCATTTCATGAAGCAGCAAATGAAACAAAAAGGTAAAATAAGCAACCAAAAAACTTCCCCCTTTTTAAATTTCTATGGAGTATATTCGCCACACTATTTATTTGGCATTGTTATTTAGTACTTGGTATATATAGATATTTTTCTACCCCTAAATTTTATTACTCAGTTCATGAAAGCAGGAATACCTTGTCCCCTCACTTCCCTTGTCACTCAATACCTGAATGAATTAATTGACATATTTCTGTCGAGGTTAACATCCCAACATGGACATCCTAGGTACTAGAGCCATCTTCAGTCCTTAAGTTTCGATTCCTGTCTGTCTTAGTCAGTTTGAGCTGCCATAATGTACCATAGACTGGATGGCTTAAACAACAGAAATTTATTTTCTCACAGTTCTGAAGGCTAGCGGTCCCAAATCAAGGTCGGCAGGATCAGTTTCTGGTGAGAGCTCTCTTTCTGGCCTGCAGAGGCCCACTCTGTTTTCATATAGCCTGTCCTCTGAGGAGAGGGCTAAGACCTTAACAGACACCTCACCAAATGAGATATACAAATGGCATATGAAAAGTTGCTCCACACCATATGTCATCAGGAAGATACAGATTAAAACAAGTCATATACCATTACACATTTATTAGAAAGGCTGAAATCTGGAAACTAACTAAAAAAAAAAAAATGCTGGTGAGGATATGGAGCAACAGGAAGTCTCATTCATTGCTGGAGGGAATGCAAAATAGTCATTTTGGAAGACAGTTTGTTGGTTTCTTACGAAACTAAACGTACTCTTCGGTAAATTGTTCTCCTTGATATTTACCCAAAGGAGTTGAGACTTATTCTATACATAAATCTGTACATAGATGTTTATAGCAGCTTTATTCAAATGGACAAAACTTGGAAGAAAACGAGATGTCCTTCAGTAAGTAAATGGGTAAATAAACTGTGGTATATCCAGACAATGGAATATTATTCAGTGCTGAAAGGAAATGAGCTATCAAGCCATGAAAACCATCAGGGATCTTAAACGCATATTCCTAAGTGAAAAAAAGCCAGTCTGAAAAGGCAATGTACTGTAAGGTTCCAATCATATGACATTTTGAAAAAGGCAAAATTATGGAGTGGGTAAAAAGATAAGTGGATGCTTTGTGTTGGTGGCGGAGTTGGGTGGGAGAGGGATGAATGTGCAAAGCATAGAGGATTTTTAGGAGAGTAAAACTACTCTGTATGGTACTGTAATGATGGATACATGTCATTATACATTTGTCTAAACTCATAGAATGTGCAATACCAAGAGTGAACCCTAATGTAAACCATGGACACTGGGTGATAATGACATGTCAATGTAAGTTCATCAGTTGTAACAAATGTACCACTCTGGTTGTGGATGTCGATGATGGGGGAGGCTGTGCATGTGTGGGGGCAGGAAGTGGATGGGGAATCCCTACACCTTCTGCTCAATTTTTCTGTGAACCTAAGACTGCTCTAAAAAAATTCTTATTTTTAAAAATGCATACAAAGAGCTTCGAGTAGTGCTTGACACAAGTAATAATTTTAACTACAATTATGTTTATTAATAATTAGACATTAACAATAAGACACATTGGAAAGACAGCACAGATAAGTTTTTAAAGATTCTTTGCTAATGAAGTTTCTTGCTGACTTTGAAGATATTATTTTATTTTATGATTTTACAGTGCTACCTCTTTGTTTAATATCTGGACCAAATATGCCCCCCGGCTGCCAGCTGCCTATTACAATGAAAAGCTTCTGAAGGTTGGAGATAGCCTTTGTGAAATGAAAGTAAGTGCCTGTGGAGTAAAAAGAGCCTAAATGAAACTCATTTGGCTAATTATTATTATTGTTTGGTTTGTTATTATTATTTGATTTGATACCATTCCTATTTTACACGATTTGATTATTTTTCTTAGAAAAATATAAATGAATACATAAACTTTTAATGAGGCCCAGAAACCAAAAAAGTATTTTTTAATTTTGTAGTTGAGATTCTCTAGAGGTGAGAGATTCCTGAACAGAAAGACAACTGACTGGGCATGGGCCAGAGCCCAGCCCCTAGTTACAAAGGGTGTGGTAGGCGCCCAACAGGAAATGCTGAGTCATCATGTTCCTACCTTTTACAAAGGAGCCCAGACACCACTTCCTGTTGTTTTTCACATGGTTGGCTTACCCAGTAAACAACTCTCATGGCTTCTGGCCTTGCTGCTGTTGCCTGTTTCCTAGTGCCCTGTTTTAATGCCTTTAATCTTAATGTTTTGCTGAATCTAGTTGTAGCAGTCATTCTGAACATGCCTTGTTTCCTGCTCAGTTTTGTGTTCCAAACTGAGTCTGTCCCAATTTCTAGATCCTATGTCAATACTCAGGTCTTGGATTACTGTGGACTTGGTTTGGTAAGACCACATCATGCTGAGTTTTCAGTAAATGATAATGGAAGTTTTTCCCTTAAGCTCTGGCATAGGCCCAAATTATTCCAAGTTAAACATATGTGTTTGGCATACCTAGGATCCTTGGACTAAGAGTTATTTTATCCAAAGTGGTTTTAGGAAAGACATGGGCTGTATTCAGTGTCTTCTCAGTCTTCCGTTTCTCGGCATTAGTTTCCATTTCTATTTTCTAGACTTGAATCCTTTTGGTTTGGGGTGAGGAGTATTTACCAAATAGAGGATAAAATATGCAGGAACTTTGATAATGAAGAACTAAGATTATTTTCTGCTGCCAAAATTGGGGATCACCTTAGCTCCCTGTAATTGGACTAGAGTGCTTAGAAACTTGAAAATACAGAGTTTGGAAAAACTGTAGGAAAAAAAAAGATGAGATCCAACTTGTAAGCTGTATTCTTATGAAGTTAAATGACAGCTCTGACAAGAATTAGGAGCGTGCCCCCTCTCCATTTTTATGCTTCTCCTCAATATAAAAAGCTGGTGATACACAGCACAGTTTGGGGTTGTTTGAGGAGTATCCAGGTGGGTGGAGTGGATATTGGTGGAGGGAGGAAGAAGGAACATGTTAGAAGTTGATAAAACAAGTGGGTGATGGGTAGTGGCTAAGGATTCAGAATATTTCAGATAAAAAGGCTCAGATAGGATATTTTACTTAAAGGAACAAAGAAAACATTTTAACTACTTTTCACTGATGGGAAAGTAGGCTGATAAAGGTATTTATGATCCTGAAAATGAACTTGACTTGTTAGTTTGGTTTTAGAATCTATTTTTATTTTAGTGACAGTAAAGATCATTTTGTTGAAATACTCTTGTTTTGAAGCTAGGTTTGAATTCATTATATGAATCAAGTTAGAACAGAAAAGAATCAGAATTAGTGAACAGTAAGTAACAAACAAGTCAACAGAAATAGAAACAGCATTTGACTGTGGACGCTTCCCAAGGGGCTAGATAACCTGAAAGGCAGTTCATACCCAGGGCAGTTGCTTTTCCTGGAGACACAGTTACAGGGGAGGAAGTGAGTAAGGGTTGCAACAGACATAATTTCAGAGTCCTACTCACATCCACCGCCCTGAAACTCTCCAGGTCAATTGTGCCTTCTGGGCTATAGAAATGAAGCATCTGACTTTGTAATGGAAATATAGGCATGAATTAAAACTAACAGATTCATAACTAACAATAGTTCAGACATTTTTTTTTTGGTTTGTCCTGACGCAGTTTCAGAGACTGTTGACAGATGGAAGAAAGATTGAGTCAGCTCATCATCTGCATTTTTCTCTCCTCTCCTCCCCTCCTCCTCCTTTCCCTTTCCACTCCTCTTTCCTCCCCCCCTTCTACCCTTCTCCTCTCCCTGTCTCCTTCCTTTCCATTCTCTCACTCTCCTTTCTTTCTCCCTTTCTCTTTCTACCTTTTTCTCCTCTTCTTGCCCTCCCCTCTCTCTTAATTCTTTCTCTGTCCTCTCTCTTCCTCCTTTCTTCCTATTTCCTTCTTCCCTCCTTTTCTTCCTCCTTCCCTCTTTTTCCTCCTCTCTCCCTTCCCCATCTCTTTATTTCATTTCTTTTTGGAGCTTAGGAGGTATCAGAGAAGCACAGCTAGTTTCATAGCTCATCTACCTCTCTGACTGAGTGGGCAGGTTACTGTCATATGGTAATGCTAAATTTTTTGGATTTTGAGTACGTACAGGTATTATTAGCACACACGACACTCTAGTGAATATTCTCATCTTTGAGTCATGATGGTCTTATCTCACAATAGGCTTGTTGTGAGGAGAATTAAATGAAATAGTGCATATGGATTGCATAGCACAGTATCTGTCACACAATATATGTTTGGAAATGGTAGTGATAATGATAGCAATAATGTAATGGTAGTAGTAATAGTAATAATTAAGATTGATACTATTAAGAATAATATAAATATTACCTAATTTTAATAATGATATACTTTCATAATTATTTAATATCGATATGATTTAATGGTTATTAAAATTTTAATAAGCAAAATGATATTTTGAGACTTTCATCAAGTGCTCTTTTTATTTTAGGAATATAAAATGGCCCTATTGCAGTGCTATGGAAGATACCTTCAGCAGTTCAGTATCAACTTTGATGAGAATCAAGCAGATGTGCATCAATTCAAAATGGTCTTTTTTCCAAAAGGCTTTGGAGACAAAACTGCTGCAAATACAGTGAGATGAAAGCAGTAGCTAAAATAGCTACAATTTATGATTAACTATGCAATGTATCCTTTCGTTGATAGCTTCTAAATGTCTTTGCTTAGCATAGAATTTATAGTATACTATAAGTTGCTTAGTAAATGTTTTCAATGCTGGATAAGAAAGTGCACTTATAAAACTTTGTAAAGATGCTTTGGAGATTGTAACACTATAATCACTCATTCATCCAGCAGTTATTATTATAACTGATATATGCGGAGTGCTTTTCGTTTACAAAGTGTATATTTGATCTTCACAATAACTTTATGAGTTAGATACTATTATTATCCCTCTTTTACAAAAGAGAAAAAGAAAACTAATCACACAATATAATTAGTGGCTCTGAAGATCAAACACAGGTCTTCTTATAAAAATTTTATGCTTTATTTGTAGTATACCAGTATTATTATATTAGTTGCAACCGTTGATTTACTGGTCGAGTGGTTACCATGTGCTAGACTCTTGTATATGCAATACATGAATTGTCATCTTGTAACCTCATTATAGTCTTAAAAGGTGGGTACTATTATGATCTTTTACAGATGAAGAAACTGAGGCTTACTAGGGACTAAGAAACCCAGCCCACTCAAAACAGTGGGCAGAGTTGGTGTTTGAAGCCTAATCAATCTGACTTTAAAGCTATTTTATTCCAGACTTGATGATGATTCAAGACCTTGGAAACATGTAGTTTAATAAGCAGAAAATCTCAAGGCATGTTAGTGGAGCACATTAAGCAGTTCAATTTGACTATATCATAGGTACATGAATGACAATACAAGGCAGTATAAGTTGGCACCCCATTGGGAAGACTACTGAATGAAAGCTTAGGAGTTTAGACTTTAAAGGTCCCTCCTATTTCACCCTGGTCCAGGCCTCCATCTCTCTCTCGTGCTATTTCATTATCGTGCTTCCACCTGGCCTCCCTGGCTTAGCACCAGTGCAGTGATGAGCCCCACTGTGTGGAAAGCTTATATCTTAGATATTTGCATGGCTCATCTCTCACTTCCTTCAGGTCTGCACTCCCTGCTTTATTTTTCTTTGTATCACTATTGTCACCAGCTGCACTTTTATTTGTTTGTTTATTTTTTTATTTCCTGTCTCTCTTTCTAGAATGTGAGCTTCATGAGGACAGGGGCTGCTCTAATCTCTAATCTCTAATGCCTAGAACAATGCCTGGCATGTAATAGACCCTCAATAAAACTTTATTGAATGGATGAATAAATGAAGTGATGTAGTCAGAATTATTAATCTAGAAGCGGTACATGGTATAAAAGGAAAAAGACTTGAGGCAGGAGGTAAAGCAATGAAGGTGACATTAAGAGTATGCCAACACGACTGTTGTGATGGGTGCAAAAAGATACGAAGAATTTGTTATTTTACATGCTAAGTTTGAGGTTCTGGCATGACACTAGTACACTGTGATTCTCAACAAATATGTATAAAATGAGTAAGTAAGAGAATAAATAGAATGAAATTTTAGTCCAGTAGGAACTCAACAACACAGAACTAGAGGTCTTAAAAAGTTTTGTTAGAGAAATAGATTTTGGAATTAAATGCATAAAGATTATAGATGAAGCAATATAATGAAGAATTTACTGTCAAAATATTAACAGCAAAGTTCATGCAAAGATAATCATGTTATTTAATGATCCTCTTTGTATGTACTATGGGGAGGCATTATGGTAGAGTTGGTAAGATTTTGGTCTCTAGAACAAACCTGCCTGGGTTCAGAGAGCTGCTGTGCCACTTCCTGACAATAGGACGTTGGTGAAGTTATGTCATTTCTCTGTTCCTCAGTTTCCTCATCTGTAAAACAGAAGCAATAATAAGACCTACCTCATAGTGTTGTTTTAGGGCTGCTGAGATAATTAAAGATTTAGAATAGGGCCTGACACTCAAAAAACATTAACTATAATTATCTGCTTCTAAAAGAGAGAACACTTTGAAGATAATGATTGTTCCAACATGTAGATACATTCAGTTAATATCCTCTGTGATACCAACTACATGGTGGCTAGAAATAGTGTATGTGTATCTGAGCAGGATGTGTATGTGGTAGATAAGGCCCATTTGTATTGAGTGTCCACTGCCATAGCTTTACCAGTACTCATCAGTACTCTAGCCAAAATCTCTCTTCTGAACTCCATATCTATCTTGTTATATCATAAACATCTCACCTAGACATATCCAAAGCTGAATTCATCATGTTTTCTCCATAATTGGCTCTAGCAGGTCACCCAAGCAAGAAATCATTGCAAGAAGAAGACCTCTTCCTCTCCCTTATCTTTTATATCTAATGGTCACTAAATCCCTTTGACTCGGACAAGACTTAAATCTTTCCTTTCTCTTCATCCCTGGTTCCAGGGCCCCATTGCAGGGCCTGTGGTATGTCTGGACGACCTCAGAGGCTTTTGATCTCTCCTAGCCTCCCTGCATGTAGCTTTGTCCCTGATCCTCTGCTCTTCATCTTCCACACTTTTCTCAGAATTAATTTCTGAATTGTAAATCAAATCATTTTACTCCTCTTCCCCTTTGACTTTGCCCTTTAGCTCAAGTCCATATTCCTTGAAAGGACATGGAATGCTCCTCATGTTCTGCCCATGTACTACCTCTATAACCTAATCTCTTTATCCTAAACCTTCTTATCCATCCTTACAAAAGACTTTCAATTCAGTGACCATAGCAACTACTTTAAGCATTCCTAGCATTGCTTGTGTCTGGAATTCTTTTTCCTCTGCCAAGAGCAGGGGCTGCGTCTTCTTCAACTCTGAATTGCTTAGCAGAGTGTGGCAAATAGAGGAACTTGATAGACCTTTGCTGAATGAATTGTGTAAGTGGTAATAATTACATCTGGATTAATTAAAATTCTGTGGGGCGAATTTCAAAAAATCAATTCAATTCTATATTTTTCAACATAGGATTTTGTACTTTTTTTTTTTTGCTTTTAAATTTTTTCCATTAAAGAAAGATAATCTTAACTAAATGGACACTTCAAAGAAACCTATTTTACCACATTGCTTTGTATATGTCTTAATCTGTTAGGGTTATTATAACAAAACTTTATAGACTGATGGCTTAAACAACAAACATTTATTTCTCACTTTCTGGAGGCAGATGTCTCTGTTCAAGGTGCTGGAATATTCAGTGTCTGCTGAGAGCCCACGTCCTGGTTCATAGATGTCTTTCTTCTTACTGTGTCTTCAGTTGGCAGAAGGCACGAGGGAACTCTCTGGGGACCCTTTTTATGAGGACACTAATCCCATTCATGAGGGCTCCATCCTCATGACCTAACTACTTCCCAAAGACCCCACTTTTTGATACCATCGCTTTAGGGATAGGTTTCAAAATAAGAATTTTGGGGGAGACTGAAACATTTAGTCCATTACACTGTACTAATCTATTAAATTAATTAAGCAAAATTATTTCCATTTTAGTTTTTTTACATTTTAAGAAAACTCTCCCAAGTTTCATAAACTTATTTATATTTATTTATATTTTCTCATGTATTTCAGTTTCATGCTTTAAATGGCAAATATATTTGCACCTACGAGCTGGTCTGTGACAGTGATATGAACCTGCAGAATAAAGAATCTGTGAACCAATGTCTACATATCTTGTCCTCCTTAAGACTCATCATGCAGGTGGCTCTGCCACAGGAGCACCTGTGCTGGATTATCTTCAATGGTATATACCCATGTATTTTATCTTCCATTGTGTCATTCAGAAAATTATTTAAATGCCAAGTTTGATGTTAAGTTGATTACCTTGTGATTTAAAATGTATTTACTTCACAAAAGGATATATGTATTTTTTTTACATTTTTATTACATTTTAATTTGTCCTAGTAAGCTGGGTTTGCTGCTCTAGAAAGAGTTAGAGGCTGTGAGGACAATTACTTTCAGGTGCATAAAAAGCATGGGCTACAGTTATTAGGTAAATATAAGTGGGGAAGAATCAGGGAACCATTGCAGGTTATATTGGTTCTAAGCATCATGCATTTATTGGTCCTCTTCTCAAATACTTAGGCCGGTGACTGTGGCTTTCTACATATCAGCCTTCTCCTCCTACTCGGTTTTGTGTAAGGAGCTCTGAGAATGTATGTGTATATGTGGGTGTATATTATATTTATATACATAGATACATTATATACATATATACATTATATATGTGTCATGAAATATTATTTATCTAAATGTAGCATTTTTGTCTTTAAAGAGCTACACTTTAGATTCAGTTCAAGTTCTTTTTAAAGTTACAATTAGAAGTTGTAATAAGTCATCTGCTATATTCTCTGGATATTCTTAAAACAAAAATAGTGACAGTGTGTTCTTTGTGCATAAGAGCAGGACAAAATAACTTGGAAGAAAATATATTGGATTTTACCTCATCTGTGGTAATTGAAATATATTTCCTAACCTTTTCCTTCCTCATACTCCCCAAATAATTTTTTGACATTTTGATTGAAATTAGACCTTATATTTACTGCTATAGATGATGCTGACTTTGGAAGAAATGTTTTAGTGCAGTGATTGTCAAGCTTTTGCGCCTGATCATCCTTAAGAGGATCTGATTCCCAGAGTAGCCACTGCCATCTCTCCACGTGGGTTGCTCACACATCTTGGTAGGGACTGAGCAGGAAGGAGCAGAGGTCCTGTGCTACAGAAGCAATGATAGGCCATGTATTGGGCCTTGCTGCTCGGCTTTGCTTGAGTGGTGGAAATGATGCAGCATGACACCCTGTCTGCAGTCCTTTTAAGATCAACATACAAAAAATCCCAATATTAAAAAAAAAGATTAAATGATTCCTGTATCTTCTATATCCTATTCTTGATGTATTCTTTATTATTCTTATTCTTATTCTTATTTTTGTTGTTATTATTATTATTCAGGTGATATCATGCTTTAGATTTTATTTTGTTTCCTAAATATTTTTCCACTCAATACTACAGTTCTAGAATCTAGCAAGGTTCCTGTGTGTAAATCAAGTTCATTAACTCTGCCTGCTGAATTGTATTCCAGATATCCATACACCCTTAAGGATAGGCACCTGGTTTGCCCTACCTCTCTAGCTGCACGAATAATTCTGCAATCAGTATTCTTGCACATGTCCTTTTATAGACCTGTGTGGGAGTTTTCTGGGATCTATGCCTAGGAGTTGGATTGCTGAGTTGTGGGAAATATACATACTTAGTTTCACTAATTCCTATACCTATTTTAATTAATTCATCCAAAACTGATTGCCAGGCATTGTTCTAGGTGCTAAAGACATAGGATTGGACAGTAGACCAAAATCCTGTTCTCATGGTTGCATTCAGCTACAGGGAGGTGATAAACAAATCAAAACTAAATGGTTGTGGCAGATTGTGCTGAGTGCTTTGGAGAGAAGTAAAGCCGAGGAGGGGATAGGGACAGCTGGGCTTGGGCTGGGTCTGGATGTGCAATATAAAATAGAATAGTCAGGGAAGGCCACATTGAAATGACATGTGAGCAAAGACCTGAGTGAAACATCTGAGTATTTGGAGAAGGACATTCCAGCTGGGGGGTTAGCAATGCAAAGTTCTAGTAGTTCTCAAACTTTCAAATTTAAGTAATCAAAGATAAATTGCCTTACATTCAATTTATCAAAATACATATAACCCTTTCAATTAGAAGTTAACACTCTCTTTACTTTTAATTGACTGTTGTATATACACTCCTTTGGTTTCCTAAGACATGTAACCACTCTTGGTTCCTTCATAAAATCTAATTGGATATATGAATATTTGATAAAACCTTACTTCTTGATTAACCTGAACTCTCACATTTAAATCCTTAAATAGATGATTTGGTAGTGGCCATCTTCGATGAAAAAGAGTCACACGACAAGCAATAAACTCGTATTACGGATTTAGTTGAAAAACCAAACAAAACAAACTTCCAGGGATATCTCGAGGTTGAAAAGATTCAGTCTATGTTCCATTCTATCCCAATTACTCTCTCCATCAGGCTTCTGCAGAGGGAATTTAGGAGCCATACCAAGATCCTGAACCATCAAAGAGGGGGCTTCAGTTATAGTCAGAATATACTAGGGTTGGAAAGGTTAAAGACACATTTTGAAATACAGAGTGCCCTACTCATTCTTGAAGACTGTCTCCTGAGGTCTTCTGAAATTCTCCAGTTCCTGTTACTGACGTTTATGCAGGCTCCTGGTGTACACCTGAATCACATGTTTTTTGAGGAGGCATGCATTTCCTGTGCATATCTTTACTTGATGACTTTTTTTAAAGATTAAAAATAGAGGTCAACAAGATCAAGTTGAGATAAGAATGCTGGGCTTGAGCTATTACTAGTCAAGTGGCTTCTTCCCTGGTGGATCTTACATGAAATAAATAACTATGTCATGGGAGCAGTCACACTAAGAATGCTGAGTTCTTGAGTGTTAAGGACCTGTTGCAATCTCTATGTAGTTTGTGGTGCTGTAAGTGTTTAAGATTTTATTCAATATATTTTTGTTACTAATTTATGTAATTAATATTTACTATGCTTACAGGTGTGTTTTAATCAAGTGATGGGTGTTTTGGATCAGATGCTGTTTTCTCAGAAGATTTTGAAATTTTAATGTGAACATAGGATTTATAATTGTTGAATTTTGATGGTTGTGAATTTTAGATGAGATTTTTTAAAGAAAATATTTAGACTACTTGCATTATAATTACATGCATTTAAAAAGCATGTTACAATCTTTTGCATATGTTTATAGTGTGATAATGTCCTTTGTATATTGGTGATGTTCCCCACCCCTCTCTATAACCCTGCTACCAGCCTTCTATCCTTGTTTAATTAATGGCCTGATTAAAAAAAAATCATACTTGAATGATATTAAATAGGAATTGGGAAATCTGTTTTTCATTAGAGTGCTCATAGGACAGACCTTAATAATAGAATAAATATTATATGAGACTGTGAATGAATATAATGAAACCCATTATGCATTACGATTTTTAAATTATCATGAGCTTCCTTGTTGAGTATTGTGCCGATTAAAGATGTATTGTAATCTTATTTGGAGATCAATCTTTAGTTTTTAAACCATAAGGAAACCATGGGAATTAATAACATTTTATTTGAATTACTAAAACCACAGGATACATAAATTATGCTACAAAAATATTCATTTGTTCAATATATTTCAAAACTTAAACTGTTTTTGGATAAAAGATTCTTGTGTCAACATATTTAAAAAATGGTCATATTAGTTCTTTTAATTTGTCTATAAGTTATAACACAAATTATATTGATAACTTTCTGACCATTATCAGACTTTTTCATGAGATTACTTGTTTTGAGAACTACAGACTTAAACCACAGATATTGGAATATAAAATTTTGATCATTTGACTGTGAAACATGTTAATGATCTTTTTCTCCATCTAGGTACCATTTACATTTACACCATTTGCAGAAAACTGATGATTATAGGTCAGTCTTCCAAGGTATGAAATTTACTAACAAAACATCTGCCTCTGTATTTCCTATTTTTCTTAAGAGTTTCGTTAACTTTGGATGCTAAACAAAGCAAATTTAGGGAGTTATATAACAAAATTTAGTGAATATATATATATTATAGGTTTACTATTTTTAGGTTTACTTTAACATGATTGTGTGTAAAAATGCAGACAATAAAGTGTTAATGTAAAGAAAGCATTCTTAAAATTGATGGGCTTTTCTACTGTCCCTTGGTCTCCCAGGTTAGTCATAATTTGTCAACTTGATACTGAACATCGATCTGGTAACTATATCTCTAGGTGTAGTACTTGGCCAAGACAGTCCTGGTTTATACCTACTGTTCTGGAGTAATCATTAGTAGTGCCTGCTTCCACTCTTCAGAGTGTCCTGGTTTGAGGGATAAACCGTGGTTACCCTGCTTATATCATACCCTGCTTATATCAGAGCCTGTACTTCATTTTGCTTGAGGAGGTTGGACTTGACTTATGGCCCACCTGCTAGTTGGGTGAATGAACATCTAAACTCTGTCCCAGTCACACATGAGGGTAAGGGGACTTTATTTTATAATAAGATTCCCACTGACCAGTGTTCACTGGTCAGTTTTAGTGTGAGGAAATGGCTGACACTGCTCTTGACTTCCCTGCTTCGTTGGTGGCACTCTTGTCTCTAGGAGACGTATTCATCTCCTGTATCCATTGTCCAGTCTTCGGAATGTGGGCCAAGAAGGGAGAATATACTCCCGTTGAGACCATACTCAAGCTGCTGCTGGTGTCTGAAACATTACTATTTTATTCTTTATCGCATGCAAAACCTTATTCTGAATATCCTGACACTCAGGACAAATACTTTTTCTCCTTTAGTTTTGCAAGACGTAGCCAAGCATCTTAAAAGTTGACAACACTTAAAAAATAAAAATGGAAGCAAAGATATTTGCATGCTTAATGGATAACATTAATTATGTGTTCTCTCTCTGTTTTGTTCTTTGAATTTAAAAATTCTGTTACTGACAGTGACTTGAACAAGTCTGTGCCAGATCGGGTGTGAATTTAAATGAGGAGAGACTGTTGCATGTATAATGTAAATTTGGCCTACAGACTATTCCAGTGATTCTACATTCAGTTCCAGATGATTTCTTAAAGAGAATTTACATACTCCTGTTGTCCTTGCTGTAACAACAAATTCTGCTTCACAGAATCCTTATAGTTTGGTCTGCTGCAGCATTTGTCTCCCAGACCTTTAGAGGGGAGAGATGTGTGTACCAAATTTGACTCTTTGTGTTTGTACTTGTTAATGCGGAGAGAATTTTAATGTGATAGTCATTTAAAAATAATTTCATATTTATACTCTATGTAAGACTTCTCTCCCCCTCATAGAACTTGAATTTCTCTCTGACAAAATAAGGGCTGAAGGAGAATAGTTCTATGGTCCTGGTCATGTGGGGCGGGAATGAGAGAGGGAGGGATGCAAGAATTTTGGGGTGGTGGGTGGTTGTACAGTTGGCATTTGAAGACTGGGATGAGATTCTTTCACTTTGTTTGATATAATAAATTCAAGGAAATTAATAATTTTACCCAGAAATTTCTAATTCTTCAGCTGGTGGGTTGATTATTTGGGGGTCCAACTACATCTGTGTCCTTCTGGGTCTGAGGAACCTTGCATGAGACCGAAGAGAAGTAGATAAAAGATCCTCAGACTTCTCATGGTGTCACCCCAGAGCAATAAAAACCCTTATTCCTATAAGATCCAGGCATTTACGCCTACCATTTCTTATTGTTATTGAATCCCTACTGTGTGTTAGGTATTGTGTGAAGGGCTTTACATACATAATAACACTCATTATAGTCTCATCGTCATTTGTTTAATGAATGCCTATTTTTATTAGGTAGGCTTCTAAGCACTTTCATGTATTATCTCATTTAATCTTCACACTACCACTTTGAGAAAGGTGCTATTATTACCTTCATCTTATAGATGAGGAAGCTAAGGCTCAGAAAGGTTAATTTGCTCAATGTCACACATTTAGTTTCAAGTGTAACTGAGGCCAGAGCCAGTGCCACACTGTACTGCTTCTCAACACAATTAGAATAATGCGTCTGTTGACTAAATTTAATCCTGTCATGACCCATCCTGTTTTGGCTTATCTAGTCAAATGGAGGAGCTGTGTTGGGAGGGGTTAGTATTTTTTGACATGACTCTATTCTTGAAGACATCCTGAAGACCAAGACTGGCTGGGGCTCTTCCCCAGATAAATGCTTCCTTTCTCGCTGAGGGAAGTCAGCAGCATAAGCTTAGGGAATGGAAAGAAGGTTGATTTCTGAAATTTCTTTTGCTAAAGACACATGACAGCTTTGCTTTCATTTACGGTATATTCTGTAGTTTCTTCCAAGGCATTTCAAACTGTAATATAGTACTCAGCAAACATTGAAAAATACTGTAGGATCTATTCTTTCTAAGAAAATGTTGATTTCTGTTTCATTTATTATAAAGCTAAAATAAGTTGTAAAGTTTGTGGCTTGAACAATGATTGTCAAATTATTCCACATTCCATTACATAAACTTTGAAATTCTTCTCAGAATTGTCTCTCTCAAAGGCTATTAGCTGATATAAATGATGCTGCAGTGCCATCCTGTGGCTGAGCTGATTGTGCATACAGCACCTGCTCTTCCTGTGAAGAGAACAGTTCTGCTTAAATCCCATCTTTTTTTTTTATTAATGGGAATTGTTCTATCTTATCAGAAAGATAGACAAGAAAAAATGCTACAGGGTCTGGAGAAGATAGTGGAGTAGGTAAACACTGTGGGTGCTTACTCTCACGACCACATCAAAATTACAGTGAAATTACAGAACAACCATCATTAGGAGTTGCCTGAAGTATAGCTGAACAGAACAGAAGTCCTATAACTGGGGACATACAGAAGAGGCCACCTCGAGACTGGTCCCCAGAGGCAAATTTTAGACAACTCTTACTATCCTGGGTTTCTTCAAAGTAGTATAAGTGAACTTACAACAGAAATTAATAAACTTAAGAAATAAATAGAAATGTAAAAACAAGAGAATTCAGTATATTATACAAAAGGAGAGCTGAAACTTTAGCTGTTGAAATCAAAGGGTTTCAAGGACAACTAGCAGACTACAACAAGGTAGATAAACTTAATACCAATACTGAAATAGAAGAAGTAATGAATAATTACAACATGTTTAAAGTTCAAAATGATCTAGAAACACAAAGTATGGATATGATATTTACTTAAGAAAGGCAAGTGAAGGAGAAACAAATTGGAAGTGTAGAAGAAGAAATTGAACAGGAGAAACAAGCAGCAGATGGCATTATCAAAAATATGCCTCTTGAAAAACAAGTCAAGTACATAGAAATGAAAACCACAAATGAGAAGTAGTTGCAGGAATTAGAGACACTTCAGCAGCAACTAGATTTACTGAACATGAAAAAAGAGAGTCTGAAAGCTGAAATAGCGCACTCCCAGGTAAAACAGGAGGCTGTATTGCTGCATGAAAAACTTTATGAGTTAGGGTCCCATCGAGATCAGATGATGGCAGAACATTTGAACAAAGTCACATTAGGTTGCTTTTAATGTCCCTTCTAGCACTAAAATTTGTTACTTAGGGTCTTGTATGCTAAGTCTGAGGCCAAACCCAAATATAATGTGAACGACTTGTGATTTAAGCTATTTTTATTTTGAAGTGTGAAATTTCTGATACCCAGAATACTGAAGGCTTTTTGAAAGACTTGTGAATTTGAAGGTGGGCGGAATTTATACCTGGCGTAATTTCATACTACTCAAACAACAATAATCCAAATGCAAAAATCCACAATAGGATTTTTGTGCAGCAGATATGAGAAAACTCATTTTGATGACTGTTAATTTCATATCAGTTCATGGTATAGCAAGGTTGGCAAACAATGACAATGACAGTAGCAACAACAAAAACTTCAATAAAGCATAAAGCAACTCTAGACTGACTTAGTAGAAGTATGGTGTCCAAGGCCAAGGGTCATTACTGTAGTCTCATCATTACTCTAAAGGGACCTGAATCACAGCCACAGAAGACTAACCATGATGAGAAAGGGACGTGTAGTCCTGGGAGGTAGAGAAGTGCTCAGGGGTCTTTATCCTGGAGAGAGAGCTGGGGGAGAGGGCAGGCAGCATAAGTGTTTTCAGATTCTTGGAAGGCTATAATTTAAAAGTGAGTTTTGAGTGGTTTTGTGCTGTTCTAGAAAGCATAAATCGGGCTAGTGCACTGGAGGTGTATCAAGATGGTTTGTTTACATTTCAGATTAAGGAATTTCATTTCATGTTTAGAATTGTCTTCTGATGCCACCTGGCATGTTCCTTAATACTAGAGGTGGAAACTCTTGGGTAGGGAAGGTGTGGGACATCAGATGGTGGTGATGGGGATGAAATTGGATCGATTTTCAGCCCTTTGAATCTGTGATTACTTACAATAGTTCCATATTTGGTTCTGTCAACTGAAACTTTTAAATGTAGCTTAAATGAAAATGCATTCAATTGTTCCCTTTCTTTCTCAGGCCTTAGAATATCTCCTGTGGGCCAGTATATGTATGGAGTCCTCGGTCCCACTCCTGTCTGTCAGGTACTTGACATGGAGAGCTACCCTTTACACTGCTGTCTGCCAGTGCTACTATGACTGCCAAGCTGGTATCCATGGAGAGGTATGCTACCTTTTAAGTCTGAGGACCCCAGTATTTTAAAATACAGCTTATGCAGCATTTTCTTTAGATGCCCAGCAAGAAAATCACAAACAAACAAATATAACCCAAAGAATTGCAATGAAGCAGAGACAAAAGTCCTAGGCTTTATTTGCAGAAATTTGCCTGGCTTCTCCATTCTACTTTCTGCCCTCTCCATTATTCTCTGTTTACTTCCACCTTTTTTGCTGCTTTTCTGAATATGATTTCTGATAATCTTTCCTTCCTCATTGTATTCTTACCATGCAAGTCACTTCCGTTTCCTGTTTAGTTTTGTGTTTCATGGCACCTACTCTCCATTTGTTTCGCTTTCCTCTGCTTCCAGCCACCATTCATTTAATATAGTCCATTTCTTGTTTTTCCTCTTTTCCTGTATGTATTTTTGACCGAATACTTGAAATATAACTTAATTGGTCAGGGGTTCTATTTGATACAGTACCTATGTGTAATTGAAAAAAGGCACATCTCTATAGTTCATGGTTTTTGGCTTGTCAGTGGATGGGGCCCTGGTGAGAATTAAAATAGGCACCGCTTCTTTTGGGCCAGCACACCCTGGCACTAGTGCGGAAGGCTTATGAGTGCAGTGTGAGCTGAATCACTTGGCTGGAAGTAATTGTGGACTGAGCCTTCTCAGCTATACAAATACCTGTTTGTATTCTATTCACAACCATAAATAAATCATCTGGCCCGTTAATGGCTTCTTTACATTTAGTTTTTACTGCCCAAATTAATTCTGGTTGCATGGCTGTGGCCCATAGGCAGGGGAAGAGCTTCATACAACCCTTGTGGGATACATTTTCTAGCCCAGGGTACAGTCTAGAAATTACTCACAACATATGAGTAGTTAAGTATAGTGGATTAGTGGTGGCATATTTCTATAGCTATTAAAATTATCAGAGAATGGAACATTTACATAGTATTGAACAGTTGATTCCAATGGAATTCTTCCTTATTAAAAAATTTAATCCTTCATGTATGATGTTGTGGTTTAGAAGCATCTTCATGACATTGTAAATTATAAATGAAATATTTTAAAGAACTGGTAAAATAAATTACATGAATTGAACTCTTTTTTATTATCTCTAGAGAATGATAATAATGGTGATCTGATTAAATAAGTCTTCCCCTTTCCTTCCTTTCCTCAAATATTAATAAATACTTCCTATAGGGTGGGTTCTGGAGATATAAAAATGAATAAGATGCTGTAAGGACCTCACAATTTATTGGACAATGTGAACAGTTGAATAGATAATACAGTATGTTTTGGTAGGAAAGTTAGGATTCAAGAAGAGCTCTGAGGAGGGGTGTGTGTGTGTGTGTGTGTGTGTGTGTGTGTGTATGCATACGTGTGCAATGCCAGAGATTTGATAATCTATATGGAGCTACTGTTTAACCTAGAATTTGGCTTCCCTTTTAAAATTTCTTAATTTATAAAGTTAGCATATCTGACAGTTTATTAACTTTAAATCTATAAAATTTAGTGGTGCTTACATGAAGTGAAAGATTGGATAGCTGCTGTATTCTAGAGAGTCAGCATCAGCTTGGAGTTTAATTCACCAATTAAATCAAATGTCTGAGAGCATAAAACATATTGTGTTGATACATTTTTAATCACTATACTCTTATTATGAATTAAATTTATTTTTAATTGCATATAGGCATTTGCTCGACGTGCTTTAGCTAAAATTGATGAGTTAAGGCAGCTGGAGTTGATGAGTTCCTCACAATCACAGGAAGAATCCAGAATATATTATAGAGAGGCCACAATAAAGGTATAAAAATTTCATGGAATAAAAGAAATTTACTGCACTTTACAGCTGATTAAGTGCTTCATAATATTAGTAGAGAAACGCATTGTTACTTCATATGTAATTCTCCTTTTTGAGGCAGATGGCAGTGATGATCTTCAAAAGAGGAGTATTTGAATCTAGAAGAAAAAACAAAGCTTTCTTTAGACCAAAGATAAGAATTAACCTGAAGGAAGTACAAACTGTAAGTCTAAGAATGTTGTCTCTGTTTCAGCTCTTTTTGTGGTGTATTTGTTATACCTCTGTGTCTTTTAAGACTGGTTACTAAATATTAAACCTTGCACCCTATTCTCTGCACCAATGGCAAACAGAGAGAAGAATGCCTTCCCTGTTTGGACATGACCTTACTTCATCCCTTTCTCAAAGCTTTTGTAC